AAACACATGCTAAAATTCCATTCTTCTTTTACAGCAAGAATATTGTTTGAAATTCTTTGTTTGTTTTTCTTCTGTTGCAGATTTCTGGCTCTGTACAAAGGCTTGATTCCCAAGATCATGAGGCTTGGTCCAGGTAGTTTTTCCTCTCTCATTTCTCTGTTGTTTTCATTCTTCTTTCGTCTTCCTCTTTTTCAATTTCTTGAAAAAATTTAGTGAGTGTCAAACAACTTAATGAGACACTGTAACATCTTTGAATGATTCCTTTGGATAATATCATCTAATAGCATCATATAAGAATTTGGCTAAAATATCTAAAAAAAATCACTTGTACATACAGATGGGATGATCACAGTTCCAAGTAACTTCTAGTTGGTGAAATTACTTTATCTGTGAATAAGCCAGAGTGCATCTTTGCAAATACCAGAGATATAAAAGCTTTTGAAGTGCTTCCTAAAGCTTATTGTATTCTCTGATATGATTCTGTACCAATTCTGTAATGTCCCCTTAAAACACAGGTTAGAGTCTCTCCAGCATAAATGCTCTCAGCCAGTTGAGCCCAAGCATATCACATTCCATTTACTTTCTGCTTCCCATGCTCTGCTGGGTCTGTAAGGAATGTACTCATAAGAGCCAATAACATGGGCTAGAAGGAGACTGCAGGATACTAGCAGACCAAGAGGACATGGATAGCTTCAGACTCGGTTGTTGACCCTTCTCACTAGCTGTTGCTCCACATGCAAAGGCACAGTGCTTGACTCCCCTGCACATAGCAGGGGGTTTGAAACTTGATGATCATCGTGGTCCTTTTCAATCCAGCCCATTCTGTGATTCTGTGATTCTATGATTCTATGATCTTCTTCGACTTCTAGACTGTTGTTCTCAAACTGCTTTTGATTAATGATGAAAGCAAAGCAACAGGCCTTCAGACTTTGTCAGCCCACAGCGGCAGCCTGTGTGAAAAGGAGCAGAAGCCCCAGTTTGAACAGTATCCTGCTCCCATGAAATTGTAGTTCCAATTGTGCAAGGTGGTTTAATAGGCAAGAGCACATATGGTTAAAAGAAAGTAGGTGCAGGTCTGCTCTGCAGAACAAAGGAGGCATTAGATTTGTCTGTATATGTTTGTATATCCAATCCTTCTGACTAAGTACAAGACCATGCCTGGTTATGGTGCAGGACAAAGGAAGAAGATGGGGAGGAGAAAAAAGGCAGCTAAGCATAACTGCAGCTGAAAGCCTTTTCCCTCAGATACTAAATTACATACAGGACAAGGAGCCATCAGGGCTTCACTTCCCCAGTACACTTTAGCATAGCTGACTTTGGAATTAAACTTTTCATCTCACAAGTGACAATGCGTTCTGGCTCGGATCCAGCAAATCAGTTAAGCGTGAGCTTCATTTGAAACACCTTTTAGTCTCATTAACTGGTAAGAAGATTTGGATTTCTGATGAAACAATGACATAATCTTTATTGTGACTGGAAAGGTAATTCCTTCTTTCAACATGTGAAAACTTTCGGGAAAAGAGATACACAAACATCACACAGTATAAGAGCTGGAATTAGCCCTGATTGGAGCTCAAATCACATCTTCAAGACACTGTGTCTATGATTTGTTTGTTGGTCAAACTGTTGCAAACTTCTGCTATGTCTAGCTGTCTGGGAGTTACTGTTCACAGATTTCAAGTCTGTTTTTGGTTCATAAGGATAAATAACTGAGAAAATTCACATGGTATCTCTCTGCTCCTGATTGAGCCTATCCATCCATGTGCAAGGGTCAGACCAGTTCAGTAGCACTTGTTTGTTAGAAGTGCCTCTGCAGCCTGCTAAATGAGCCAACAGGCAAAAGGCAAAGGAAGGAGAATGTTTGTGCCCCTGTGCTGGCACCTGCAAGTAGTACATTGTAACACACTATTGCAGCCCTTAACCTGATTCTATTTCCCATCTTGGACTCCAACTAGCAGCTTCTTTCTGTATGTTTAGTTATATGTACACCTTCTGAAATGTTCCCTTCTTCAGCTGATACAGCAACAGCAGGGCTTAAGTCTGGCTTCACTTATTTATTGAGCTTAAGGTGTGATTTTGTACTGTTAACCATTAGCTAGCAGATAACACCCCTTCATCAAATCAACATTTCAGCAGTGAATTCATAGTTAGATAAACCCACAGGAAGACTATAATAATTTAAATACTGCAATCTTCTAATTTAGGTGTGATAAATAAACAGTAGAAAACCTTCCATGAATCTTACCTTTTGTGTATTTTTGTCATTCCATTATTTAAGTTGTTCTTTCATGGCCAAATCCAACTCCAAACAGACACACAAATATACATACATTCACAGATGAAAACAATGACTTGTAAAAGAATGAACACAAATTAATCTTGCAAAAATATTACAAAAAATATCAGAAGTGCACTGTGGATGAGCTTACTTTAATATGCAACCTTTTCACATTAATTTTATGGTCTAACATCAGGTAAAATACATGTGGTCCAAGAATTAGTGAATTTTTCTTGAATTAGGAAATTGCTAGAATTAACTGTTTTTCAAATAAGGCTTTGCCATATTCTGTCTCACGTTACACACTTTAAATACTCTGCAAAAACTTGAAAGTGCTGAATTTTATACATAGTAAATTAATATATTTTCTTCCAGGTGGTGCAGTGATGCTTTTGGTTTATGAATACGTTTATGCATGGCTTCAGGACACAGTTGATCCCAAGTAGTGCTTCTGAAAAATGTACTCCTTAAAACCATATGCATTCTAAAATACATTTTAATAAAGTGAAACTGATTCTCAGCTGTTACGGTTTTGAATGTACTCAGATTACTGGTGATACAAGAAAATATTCAAGTAGATACCTGTCTAAAAATGTGTAAAGTAAATAACCAAATTGATATCTGTAATTTCTTTGTCTGTGTGAAAACATAAAGGAGACATGAGGTAGTTTTTCAAACTGAAAATTCTGGACACTAAATTGTACTATGCAGACAATACTTTAAAAAGTGCAGCTGAAATGATAAAATAATGACCTTCAGAGCATTTCAAAAAGAAAACTGGAGTAATTCCTTAGCACCAGATACTGAGATCGTGTAAAATGACAGCTTGGGATTAAGGACATAAGCCAAACTCTAGAAACTCATGTGTCAAAATTGGGTCCTGTTTCCATTCCAGTTGTACCATGTTTGGTATAATTTCAGCAGTGACAGAATTGTTTCTTAAGTTGTTGAGAGTTAGGACAGAAATAGTACAGCAAGGCTAGCCACAGCCTTAGAAATAATCATAGTATTAAATGTCCTACTTTTTCATAAGCCATATATATCATATAAAGCTCACGCAGGTCACAGAAGATACTAAACACAATTACTCTAACCAAGTTAGATTCAGATACAAAGCAATTATGGAAATCATACAAGAATTGCACAAATAACAAGGAAATACTTTTAGATGTACAAGATCTTACTGCGATTTTTTCATCCACTTTCATATCCTAAAAATTCTCAGGGTATCTTGACTACCTTTTTGCCTTCTGTCACCACCCCAAGGTGGAAGAATGGTGTTCAGTTAACCTCTCTTTTCTCTTTATTTGACAACAGCAACTTCTCATTCATATGTTACTTTGTAGCTAAAACCAATAAAATTAGCTCTGTTGCAGTTTATAATTTTAAGGCAAATGTTCCCTCTCAGTACTTAGCCAAAGAGAAGACGCTACTATGATCATTTCAAAAGTGAAAAGCAAAATGCTTCATAATTAGTCTTTTATTAATTTAGGGCATTCAAAATATAAAAAATAAAAGACTTTAAACATACTGCATATACATATAGCCTTAGGTTTTACATCCTTTCCAATGTGATTTTTTTCCATTTAATAGCTCACCCTGATCTTTGATGAAAAAAGAGAACCATTCAAAAGAAAGAAAAAAAAGAAAAAACATGGCATTCATTTAGAAAACAAACCAATCGATACACCCTTTTTTTAATGCCTTTTCCAGGCCAGTCCTTCCTGGTGTAATATGGTGTCAGATTCAGTTTTACCACAGGACCATGCAAACGCAGTGAGTCTGTCAATGGGAGTATTAGGCTTCACTGATTTCTTTGAAAACGTTCAAACATTTGATGCTCTAGAAATGGAGCCTAGGCTTTTCATACCAAAAACTTAAATTCTGCACTCACACTGTTTGCACATCTCCCAAATTAACCCCTTCACCTAAGTGGTTTCACTCTAGGTTTGTACCCCTGTATCTAATAGCAACAGTTGAATCCTATTTGTAGTTTGAAAAACAATTCCTTTTTTTTTTTTTTTTCATCCATATATCATAAAATGGCTTAAAGTTCTATGGGTTATAAGCTAGCATGTTGTGGTTTTCCGTTTACCAGTGAGTATAAGCAGTAAGGAAAATCCTTAGGCAAAAAAGTGTTCTGTATCATATGTTTATATTTAAAAAAAAAATAGTTGTGAAATTTGACCGAAAAATACCTGCAAGCCAATCACCAAGGGCCAAGGTCAGGCCCCTTCATTCATGCTGAGCAATGCTTCCCACACGGCCCTGCTGCTTTTCCGCATGGAGTCAGGTATTATTTACACCAGGCAAATGCATGAAGAGCTACAGTAAAGGAAACATGGCTCTTGTTGCTGTGTGTGTTCCAAAGCAAGGATTAATTGATGTCATGTCTTGGCTTGGCTTTAAAAATTAGCCCAGTTAAGATTAAGACAAGATAATTCAAGCAATTCATGCAAGCTAAGGTTCTGTTTCTCTAGGTATCTTCTGAAACACACCAATAATTGATGGAAATCTCAGAAGACTTCTGTTCCAGAAATTTCCTTGTTGCACTCTGGTACAGACTTGTGAATCCTTGGAACTCAAAAAGCTGTCATTTGGAAGACCGCTCTTCCTTTACCTTTTTATGTCTTCTTCCTTTGATGTGCATTGTGTTGTATGGGTAACAATCAGTACACTTGCTCAATAATTTTATAAACCAGAAAAAAAATGGTTGAAAACTGAAGTCCCATTGTCAACTAAATCATTTATTGGCATGATCTTTTTCCTTCATTTTAATTCTCATTTTATTTTTAGTTAAGAGCTCATCTGGAAAGAAATCTATTTCCTTTTTTGTGGTTTTGTTTTGTTTGTTGTTTTTATTTTTTGCATAGACCTTCACCTTATTTCAGCTATGGCTGTGTAAAGACAGAACAGTTAGTCACCTCACTAACAGCATGGCAATGTAGAAATGCACTTTGTGTGCACATTTTGTTGCATGTGGTGGTTTCCAACAAACAGAGTATTTTTTTTTTAATGTTCTACTGAAAGGCAATGGCTTAAGCATCTCGTTAAAGCTAACCAGCTGTCAAATTCCTTGGCTGTACTGAGGCCTGAGAGTATGGAAACATATCCGAGATCAGATCTTTCTTTCCTTAGGGCCATGATACAATACCTGTGTTCTTTATAGAAATGCTATTCAGTTAAATATTTTTTAATGCAAAAAGCAAAGGAGGCAGCAGCCAGTTGCGTACATCTGTATTTTAGTGGATTTACTGTGCGCAGCATTTGTACTGGTTACTTCTATTGTTAGGAAACTTTGCCCATGGCCAAGTTTCAGTGGTGAGACTTGGAAATCCACAAAGAGAGGACTGTATTTCAAGAGAGGACTGTATATTTTACCTTCCCACTGAATTAATGTTTAATGTGGTATGCAGATAGAGCAATATTTGAAGAATGATGTTTTCTCCTTGGTTTTAACCATCTCTGAAGTAATTTAATATATTGCACATCTATTAAAAAATCACAATATATTAATATTCTATGAATGATATGAAATCTCACACCAATCTTAATTTCTCTTTTCATATTCATATTCTGAACATACCTACAGCATGTGGAAAGCATTCTGGAATAATATTCAGAACTTTATTATTGCCCAAAGAAAACAGGTAAATCTTCAAAGATCGGAACGTTAGCTCTCTTGGGATTCAAGTCAAGAAGTTTAAAGCAAAATAACTGGGACAGAGTACTTGCCACTGGTTACAGAAATCTAGAAAGAGAATTCATTAATATTAAATATCTGTGTTTGTAGCACCACCACCAGTATACCTATAAGGAAAAAAATGCTTCAGAACAACAATGTAAACCTTACCAAGAACCATATTTTACATTCATTAAAGCATTAAAGACAACTTCCTCTTTAAAAAAAATTACAGGATAATCTTGGGGCCAAAAATTCTGGACATGAGTGAGCTGACAATGACAGTACAATTCTATTTCACAGTGGTTTTGCTAACTTACATGGCTTTGTAAGCATCTTTGCACATTTTACACTAACAGCACTTTTTCTCTCCAGTTTTCATCTCTGTTTTCAGATATTTCCCACCTATTTCTGTTTGTTTGTGAACCTGGAAGGCTGAGGGCATCTGGGGAAAGTTTTGGCCTTTGAATCTTCTGCTAAAGAAATAACTGTATTTCGTGAGATGCTGAATTGTACACTGTAGACAAAAAAAAAAAAAAAAAAAAAAAAGATGAAAGAAGCATCCCTAAACCTCATCACCTGAAGCTATTTCTGCACCATGCAAATAGCCAGAAAGTCACCTTTTTAATTTCCAAGGAAAGAGAAAAAAAAAAAAAAAAAAAAAAGAAGAAAGTGCACTGAGAAATAAAGACAAATGCTGTTGAAAGCCTATATTTACAAATGGATAAAAATACAAACATATGACTGCCTGATGACGACGAAATGCCAGAAGAATCTGAAAGCCACACATTGTCTTGGTTCTGTATTTGACTACCAAAACTCAACAAAATGACAAAAAAAGTGATCTCAATAGCAGTGGATCGTATAACCTTATTTGTTCTCTAGAGACAGGTTATTGGCAAATACCTTTGATTTAACCACCTTTGCTGATTTGAGGCGTGGCAGAATTTCCTGTGATTATTTTTCTTTATTGGTTTCTACACAAATCTTAACAACAATTGCACATTTAACAACTCTGTGTTGATTAAGAATAAATATGTGTGGTTTGACCAGAGGAGTGTTAGACAAGTTTCCACGGGCCCTTTGAGGGACGCAAGATCTTTACTTAGAGAGTGCAAGGGCATCGGCACGCTCTCCTCTGCTTCTGATGCGGCCTTCAGCTCTTTCAGTCCCGAAAAGTCCTGCAGGAGACAAGTCAGGAAAAGAAAGACCGGGTTCCGCCAGCATGTGGAGAGCAGTCTGTGAGCCCGGTGCTGGGGACACTTGGCCTGGAGCAGCTCCTGCATCAGAGAGCGGAAGCCGTGACTGAGTGGCTGCCTTCCCTGGCTGTCTGCATGCCCTTGAAGGCCAGCGAGGCAGGGAGGTCACAGCCATGAGGCGAGAGCGGCGTGCCCGCAGCGTGCTGCCAACCATGGCCTGCCATGTAGCTGGAGGGAGCTGCGCTGTACGGCATGTAGGGCGACACCTGAGCCGACGTGGCGTAGGGAGACATGGCTGGTGCTGATACGAAGCTTCCAACTGCTGGGAGGCCGTTGTGTGCCTGAAAGGAAAGGGAGACACGTTTCTATGGGAGAAAGACATTTTAGACATAAAGGAAAAATTATTCACACTGAGGTTGGTCAGGCACTGAAACAGGTTGCCCAGAGAGGATATGGATGCCCCATCCCTGGAGGTGTTCAGTGCCAGGTTGAACGGGACCTTGAGCTGCCAGATCTAAGTGTCCCTGCTCGTGGCAGGGAGTTGGAGCCAGATAATGTCTATTTAATGTCCCTTCCAACTGAGTTTATGATTCTAGGACAAAGCCTATCTGCCCATAAGGAAAGCTGCTGAGGCTTTGTGCAGGAGCCAGGACCAATGATGGCCATGTGAGAACTGGACACAGACACCTGGGAGAGCCACTTGTCATCGTTCTCCTGGATGTCCACTGTGCAGAGGTGCCTTTGTGTTTTGCTTTTAAGACCAGCTATCTGCATCAGGCCCACACACCTCTCCCAGGAGCCTATCCATGGCCATAACCAGCTGCTTAAGGACACATAAGGAGCAAACATCAAGAGCAAGACAAGGAACAACATGTATTATTCTGTGATTCTGTTATGATTTGATGTTTAGGCAGTCCTTTGCGGAGCTAGGAATTGAACTCATTGATCCTTTGTGTCCCTTCCAACTCCTGATATTCTATGATTCAATGAGTATGGCCTCTTTGTATTTCCCCCTGCAATGCCAGGGATTTCTGCAGCCCATGGTTGCATCTAATGCAGATGTTCAAGACCTAATGCTACTGCTATCTGTGATGGATCCATCTCAGCACCTCACCTGCTCCAGCCCCAGCAGGCTCAGCCCTGAGCTACAACAGTCAGGCTTGGGCACAGATCCTGACATAAGGCTTCCCAGAGTGAAAGGTAACAAGTAGCTGGGGAATTGAAACTCTTTGGTAACTATTTGCACAGAGCATGAGTCAGAACTGTAGTATTATTACTGTTGATGTCTTTTAAAATCTGTTTTCTAGGTGTCTCTATTATAACCTTGCAAATGTTCTTTGCTCATGGCTTCTCCTGGTTTCAATAGCACTTCTGTGCACAAAGCAATTACAGGGCTAGGTCTTTTCCTGCAAGCTATTTTCTTAGGTCCTACTGTGGGCTAGGGAGAAGGGTTTCTATTTAAATAAAGAAGGGAGAGTCCTTCAGTCTGCTGGGATAGGATTTCACAATGAATGACTCCTTATTTAAATAAAAAAGTTCAGTGTTTTACTTCACGCCCTGTAAATGCTTCTTCAGCAGAACAGGAACAAAACAGGATCATTTATCTTGCTTAGGTTTTGATTTGTGTAGTGTTTATGTTTTAGTATCTGTGGTGGTATTTTTTTTTTTTTTTTTTACCAAAAAGGTTTTCTGAGTATGAAAGAGTGGATATTGATTCAGCAGAGCATGTAATGTAATGCCAATTTTTCAAAGATTTAATCACCTTGTAAAACTGGACCTACTCTGGACAATGCAGAGCTGAAAAGCAAAACAGACTTTTGTTGCTGCTAAAATTTCAGGTGCTGTTAATATTTCACTTGATCAATCTCTGTCCAAATTGCACCTGTCCAAATTTCCAGTATTTATCCCCATAAATGGCACTGTCCTCATTTCAGGTTTATGTTTCCTACCAGTGTAACTCAGTTCCAGTGGCTGGACTGTCTTCTCATAGCTGCTTGGGAAAACAAGCAGTAATCCTGCTGGAGTCAATATAAATGTGTGCAACAATCTAAAACAGCAGGAGACAGTGAGGGGATTCCAGCCATAAGTCTCAAATAGGGGTATTAATTAGTGCAAAACATACAGCTGCAGCAGCAACATAATTGTCATTCCAAATCCATAAACACTTTGTTGAGGCTGCACGCACCTTATTCTTTTGAAAATCCAAACATGCGACCTGACCTTCAACTCCAATTACATGTCTCCTACTGTGTCTCAGAATTACACTTTAGCCTTGGTTCTAAATATCAGCATTTTCAGCAATACTAATTAATACAAACCCTCAAATAATTGCACTGTAAATTACTATACTTCTTAAATCACATGGAAAATTATTTCACTGGATTTATTGAAGGTAAAAAGCATGACAGGTCCAAAATAGCTGCTGCTCCCCAAGCTCCATGCTGCTTCCACCATGTAGAAGTGTGAAACAAGAAAAGAGAATACCTTTGGTTTTCCCAACAGCAACAAAAAGCTTTTCATGAGGCCAGCAGAGCCATAGAGGCAGATTGTAACACAGACATCAAGGCCCACAACCCAGTGGAATCCTGCAGGAAGAATGGCAGAAACCCTGCTGGGGGCTGGAAGGAGACCTGGAGCCAGTCCCTGGGGAGTCCCATTACTGCTGTGGCAACATGGGGCAGGCAAACTTCCAGCCTAGAGACTCAGAAGAGGTTCTTTGGATGGTCATGTACTCCCCCAGGCTTGCCCGCTCTCAAGCAGGTTGGTGCCCAGCAGCAGGCTAGAGGCTGGAAGTTCCTTTTTAAGTAAGGTGCTTCAGCATGAATCGTGATGTCCTATGAACATTTGGCTGTGCCTTTATAAGACTTCTCCTAAGCTACAGAGGAGGCACGTGTCCTTCCATCCTCCTGCCTTGCCACTGCTACCCCCTAACACGTGGCTCTGGGAAAAGCCAGCCTCCTTCTTTGCTGTAGAGAATATGTATGCTGTATAGACCGCTGTGTTGTAGGATGCTCTCTAACCACTGGTGCTTCCCTCTAAAACTCTTTAGAAGAGACAGATGCTCTAACATCTCATCTGAGTAGAATAAGTATTCATTCTTAGGCTACGAATACATCCTTCAAAGCTGTGTGCAGTGCTTCATCATGCCAAATTGAAATGTCACTTGGTGCGATTGCACTGCCACACACCTGTCTCCATCCCACCATCACAGGCCAAGAGTCTGTTGGTGGGAAAGGTAACTTTCAGCCCTCAAGAAATTACTTCCTGCTATGTACAAAACTAAACTCTGCATCCAGGCAAAAAAACAAAAAACAAAAAACACTTTCTAGAAATGATGACTATGTTTATATATGTAAATAAAATAGATCAGGGCCAATTCTTCAACACTGAGGATGATCAGCATTGTACATACCCAGCCCTACAGCTCAGTTTCCTCTGACCAGAAACAGGGTGGCCTCATCCACAGCCTTTGGGAGGGCTCTCTGGCCCGTGCCCTGCCTGACCCCATGCTGGTGATCATGTTTTCCTTAACGTACTGCCATGAGAACTGATGTTCTCATGCTGTCTAATGTTTTGAATGTGAGAAAGATCTTGCCCTAAACATTTGGTGCAGAACATGGAGACACATATGTAGAGACTTGAAGGGACCTGTCAGATGCTTCAAGGCTGTTGTCTCTTCCTCACTGAATAAATTAATCCCTTGTATTTTAGTGGCAGTGCTACCAAGATTTGAAGACTGAGTGATGTGAATGTCAATAAGCGTCTGAGAAAAGCATGCAGCACTGGGGTGAACCAGAGCAGTTTCCACATGGAGCAGGGTTCTGCTTCAGTGGGAGATCGTGCCATCCTCACAAAGCAGCTCCTCTAGTCCCAATTCAAACTGAGGGGATGAAAGAAACCTCCCTTATGTGACTTAAAACTGTGCCATTCAGAAAGAAATCACTAATTTTCATCTCTGACTTTCAACATTGAGGGATTTGGTGCAGTGATTTTAACCACAAGGACTTTTCTGCTAAACAGCTGTAGACAGAGCATGCAGGTTATCAGAAGGGTTGACTCTTGTCTGTCAATCCAGCACTTTTTACAAACATGACATTCACTTAAAATAAATGGAGAGGATTAAGTTCCATGAGCCTGTACATAGTGGATGAATTATTCATCCTGCAGTATTTCAGTCAGGGGAAATGAGCACCAAAATCCAAACATTCATAATTATGAGTGTGAGAACCCCATGGTGATTATTGATTTTTAAAGCTGTTGGAACTTGTTTTAAATGAAGAGCCTCTTGAACCTTGTTTTTAAGTTTTATATTTTCCTTGATTCAAACCATTGATTTTTAAGGGAAATAATTTAAAAACAAATAGACTAACATGTAATTCTTACTGAGGGAGAATGTCTCCTGTGCCAACGATCAGAGCTCCTGCTTCACTGGCTGGCTTCTACAGAGAGCGGAGGGAAACAATTGCTCTGCATTGCTGCCTCTACTGATGTTTGGAAGCAACTGATGGAATAACTGCTTCCAAATTTCAGGGCTGTGTAGTCAACCTAGAACACGTGATTTGTCAATTCAGTGAAACATGTTCTCACAAAGGCTGCAAACAACAGCCGAGTCAGGATTACTAGTTCAGTCTCGTGCCGTCCTACTGAGTTACCATGATACGTGCCAGCACAAGTGAAAGGATTATCCAGGAGGAGTCAAAGCCACAGAGACTTAAAATGTCACTTCATGTGATATAAAATGATGATGCTGTGTGCATTTTCACCAGGGAAGGAGTTGACTCAGTAGTTTTTATAGAAGGACTTGTAGTTTTAGACACTCAGTACGGTGCATTGCTTTCGGTCTGTTTGGGATTTGGGACATAAAGTGGCGAGTGGATTGTGCAGGATTGTTGTTGGAACAAATAACTTCCACCAGCTGTTTAGATTCCTACAAGTGAAAACCTAAGATTGCCATGCACAGCTCAGTTTCTGCTACGGAACATGTGCTGGTGTAACGCCATACAGCTCAGCCTTGGCCTCATCTTTCCTGCATTTCAGGTCACAAAATTTCTGCACAGGCTTCCCCATTAATCCATGTCAGACAAGCAGTGTGACTTTTTTTTCTGCTTTGGCTATGTTAATACCAGGAAAAACACAAGCTAGATTCCACTTCCAGGCATTAATTCAACTTACATCCAGAAACTGAGCTATACTGTTTTATTTCACCCTTTTCTCTGCTCTTCTTTCTCAGTGTTTTGCTTGCTATATATGTTCTCTGTGAATCAAAATTAGATCCACTCCATGTGATCCCTTCATGTGTAGCTTCTAAATGTTTCCAAAAATGACCCAGAGTTATCTGCAG